TCAAGGATAGATTCCCAACATTATTTGAAATTGCTCTCAATAAGGAATGTTTGGTCTCAGAGATGTTCTCACAGGAGGGAGGGGTAAGATGTTGGTGCCCACTTTTAGAAGGAATCCAAATGATTGGGAAATTGTAGCTGGCAGATACTCTAGCAAAACAGGGAGTTGATAGACCTAGTCTATTTTGGGCTAAATTGTAGCGGTCTGTATCACAACAGTGGGGTGATTGATCTACATAATYTGGCCTTATCTGTATATCGTAAAACTCTGGAGTGCAGAGTAAATAAMGAAACTGTAATCTGTTTTCAATTTAATAAAAAGCTAAATTCTCTTTTGCTGATAAAAAAAAAAAAGATCAGGAAATTGAGCAGTGGGAGGAACTGATGCAAAACTTAAGTACAGTCAGATTGGACAGTGCAAGAAGTGATAAAAGAATTTGGGTTGGGGAGAAATCTGGAATTTTCACAGTCAAATCCTTTTATAACAGAGTTTGCAATGATAAGGCAAATTTTCCTGAAAACAGGGTCCTGAGATCTGCAGCTCCCCTCAAAGTTTCTATATGTAGGTGGCGGTTTTGGGGAAGTGCTTAACATCTGATAACTTATCAAATAGAGGGTTGGTGGTGGAACCTAGTAGATGTGTGGTGTGTGGTGAAAACTCTGAGTGGGTAGAGCATCTTTTCATGCACTGCAGTTTTGCATGGGAGATATAGATGAAATCTTTGAGGGTGTTTGGAGTAACAGCTCTGTTTCCCAAGAGACCTGTTGGTATTACTATGGACTTGAGATGCGTGTGGTTTATTGAGGAAAGGAAAGGTTTTCCAGCAGTTACAGGAGGCTTTTTGAAATAGGAGGCTTTTTGAAAACAAGTTCAGTACAGTAGTTACAGTTTTAAAAGGTAGCTGGGGAAGGATATACTCATGGGCGGTGGCACAAAGTTATTCAAGAATATTACCTTATAGCTCTTTTATTTATTTAATCTTTTTTTGTATGAAATTAGTCAAAGTGGAATTTGGGTTGTACAAAGAAAATACTTGCCTTGTCCAGTACCTAATTGTGTAAGGCTTTGTACATGTTCTGATTATATAATGAAATACTTTACCTTTCTCTCACAAAAAAAAAAAAAAGAAAAACTTATTTTTTACTTGTAATGTCAAGTTTAATGTTCCTTTATGGCTTTCTTTATCTTGGGTGCAGAGGATCTTCTTGCTAAAGTTTTTATGTGATGAGGTGCTGAACTCAGCTGTTATTCGTGAACACCTTGAGCAGTGTGCTGATGTATCAGTAGATTTGCAGCAGAAATTACGATCTCTTGCCATAGAATGGAGAAACCTGAAATTAAGAGAAGAAATTCTGGTTGCCAAAGCTGTAAATGAAAACACGACCATGTTTGATGGAGTAAGAGAACCTGGAATAGAAGGGATGGATACTGTACTTGCAAACTATGGTCAACGGATTGGCAAATTGAATGCTTGGTGTAACAGATCCAACTGCAATACTTCTTTCTCTGGTAATTTGTTTCAGCTAGAAGATGGTTCTGAGGGGAGTGGACCAAATGATCTCAATAAACCCCCTGGTTGGTTTGATTCAAAATGCATTACAAAGAAAAATGACAATAGTATTAGAACTACAAGCATGAAGCCTAGAGATATTGAAAATCACATGAAAGATGCTCTCCCTGTTATTAATAACAGTCTAATTCCTGGAAATCCTTTTTCCTGTGTGGTTTCCACCAAAAGAGATGAATCTGACCTGCAAAATGAGCAGCCACTGTCAACTCCTCAGMAACTAGAAATCAATAACTTGGRTAAAACAAATGATATTCAAGGTGATATGAACAGAAAGTGTGAGTTGAGTACTGAAAGGAATGGTTCTATTCTGCCTGTTCTTGATGTTCTACAACGACCTCGTTTTTCATCTGATACTAGGAGAAGCTATTTGACTGAACATTATCCTATGCATTTGAACTCAGATTCTATATTCCCTGGACATCACCGTGGTGTCCAACCTGATGTTGAAGAATCACAAACCTACAATCTTGAGGTGAACTCTCTGAAGAACGAAATTTCGCTTTTACAGGATTCCATTGCCAGTGTAGAATCACAGCTTATGGAGGTATCTTTGCGGAGGGATCTTTTGGGTAGGGACTCTGCCGGACGACTCTACTGGGTTTTAGCCAAGCCTGGACAACGTCCTTGGTTGGCTGTTGATGGGAGTGCTACTGCACAACAAACACAAAGAACTGTGGAAGAGCACCCGGATCTGTTTGCAAATAATTCAATTTTGAGGTGTTCTCTTCCATTTCACAGAGGTGTCAATAGTTCAAATTCAAATGCAAATGAATATGATGTTTGTTTTCGGCATTCTTCGTCTTCTTGGGTTTCCTATGAATCTGATGCTGAAATTCAAGAACTTATTGGGTGGTTAAAAGCCAGTGATCCAAGAGAAAGAGAGCTGAAAGAATCCATTATACAATGGAAGAGATCAAGACCTCATRGCTCCCAACAGTCTAGAAATCCTGTACAGGATGAGATTCATTTGACCTCATCAAAGTCCTTGGATTGTGAAAAAGTGGTGATTACTGATTGTCTTATCACTAGGGCTGCTAACATACTGGAGAAGAAGTATGGTCCTTGCTTGGAGCTAGAAACTTGTGACATGCCCAAGAAGCGTGGGAGGAGAGCRAAAGTAGCTTATGAGGAGAGAATGTACAGATGTGAGTGCCTTGAACCTGTATGGCCATCTAGACATCATTGCCTTCTGTGCCACCAGACCTTTTTCACTGTTGTGGAACTTGAAGTGCATAATGATGGAAAGTGCAGCTCAGGATCATTCGCCCATGCTAGCAATAAGGAAAATGATGATCTCTATAAACGGAAGGGGACACGTCAGGAGTGCAATGAGGAAGTAGACATATCTGAGCTATCAAAGAGTAGGAAGTTTGAAATCAATTCTAGGTTGATTAAATTTGACAAGGGGGTAGCATGCCCATATAATATCGATGAAATCAGTAGTAAGTTTGTCACTAGAAATTCTAACAAGGATCTGGTGCAAGAAATAGGACTTATTGGTTCAAATGGGGTTCCTTTGTTAGTCTCATCAACTTCTCCTTATGTTAGTGATCCTACATTAATGTTAGTCCCTATCCAAAAAGATGAAGCTGATCCAGGTGCCAAGCCTGCAGTAAAACGGCTAGTGTTTTCACAAGAGAATGGCATTGCAGACAATGTGAACCATAAYGATGGTGTATACGATCTTCCCAAAGGTTTTGCTGCCACTGGCATCAGTGAGTCACTAAAAACTGTAGGACCCACATATGAATGTATGAATCATAGAGATTCTCTATCTTGTTTAGATAATAGAACTGCAGACCTGGAGGTTGGTCACTGCTGCATGGTTCCTGAGTCTTCATTGAGACCATTGGTGGGAAAAGTTTCTCAAATTTTAAGGCGCCTCAAAATTAACTTACTTGACATGGATGCTGCTCTTCCCGAAGAGGCCCTGAGACCATCAAAAGGGCAATCAGCAAAGAGATGTGCCTGGCGTGCATATGTTAAGTCTGCAGAGTCCATATTTGAGGTAAATTGAATTCTTTCCTTTATTTGGTATTCCATCATTTATTATGCAACTGGAATTTAAATTGCTCATCAGATTTTA